TTTTTTCATGGAAATTGATGAACGCGCGTCGAGCGTGAAACAGCGGCGGCCAAAGGGAGCGCGTTTGCTCGCATCGTCCTCTCGTAATCATCGTGAACCAAAGCGAAATTTCGTCTGTTACCGTACGACGCGGTGAATACGAGCGTTCGATCGATAAACAAATTTTTTATCCCTCGGATCGGAAGAAGGTCGAGAGAGAGAGAGAGAGAGAAAGAAAGAGAAAGAGAGGGAGGGAGGGAGAAGAAATCGGCCGGAGAGCGAGCATCGATCCGATCCGGCTCTGACAATGGCGCGAACTAGTTTCGCTCGGATTTATAATTTATTAATATCGATCGAGTGGTAAAGTATGACAGTGATACGACGGCGTGTACAGGCAATACCCACGTCTCGAATTACACAGTCGCAGTCGCAGTCGCAATTGCATTAACACGCCGCTTGCGAGCGAAGCTTCGGTCGGTCTAGACGACGAGACGAGGAGACAGTGTTACGCGTGCCCGCGAACGTGACTGCACACATACCGCACTCGGTGGCCGGCAACAAGACCACCGCGAGAAACCCTCCTTCGCGAAACAATCCCTCGCGAGAACGCTACCGAAAATAAACGCGAGAACCAACAACGACCAGCCGAGCGACAAAGTCTCGGTTCGTCAGCGACTGAAATAGAAATCGTAAGCAAGACTGAACCGCGAGTTCTCGCGAGAATGAGAAGTCTCGATCGAGAGCAACGAGCCATCTTCGTGGAATATAGAACGACGTTAAATCGAAAACGGCTGGACGGGAACGGGTTTCGCGCGAAGAACGTGGAAAACGATTCAGCGCGAGTACGAACGACCGCTGAGAAAGAATACGGCCGTGATTGAACGCGAAGTGGAGAGCGAGCGAAATTCGTCGAGAGGACACAGATGAGGCGAGGGTGAGTTGAGAGAGGGTGAGGCCAGAGAGAGAGAGAGAGAGAGAGAGACCAGCGGCAGAAAGTAGGTACTTCGAAATATCGACCGTGTTGCAGCCTGGTTCGCTCGGAGTCTGTGCTATCCATCGCTGTTTCCACTTCTCGCCGCTTTTCTTCTTCACGAGTGGAAAAAAAGCCATACCGCGGGACACCGAGGTTTGCCTTCTCTGCTCCCTCCCCCCCCCCCCTCTCTCTCTCTTTTTTTTCTTTTTTGTCTCCTATCGCCGCGAAAACTTCGAAAAACTTTCATCCCTCCGGGGCCACCCTCACCCCTCGCGACCTTTTCGCTCGCCCCGCTATCTCGCTCTCAGCGAGAAACGTGATACGTTTTCGCGTGGAAACGTCGCCGAAATTTTCGCGACGTCGAAAACAACAGAACGCCTACGATCGAACGGAAAAATAATTCCATTCTCCAAACGTTCTCTTTCCCTTCTCGCGAGAGGGAGAATTACTTGGGGAGGGGGGAGGGGGGTCAGACGCGTATCGATTGCGCAACTTGAAAGACCTCGAGGTGAAATGAAAAAAAAAAAAAACTGACGTAGGTAGACGATGGTGGAAGATCGTGGAAATATCAACGGGTTACAGTCGCAAAAAATAAAAGAAAAAAAAAATACAAAGGCTCGATGGGAAATCTGGTTTCACCGCGTCTCGCTAAATATCACGATCCTTTATCCGTCCCACGATAATCATCGAAAACCGTGAAAAAAAAGAGAGAAAAAATGCCTGACACGAGTGTACCGGGCTCGTGCGGAACACAATAAAGTCTGCGCCCCAACCCCTGAAATGCCAGCGTGACAAAGGGTGGTTAAGCCCTTCTTGACGAAGATGCACCACTATACGCCGCTGAGCCCCTGATATATTCCCGTGCAGACGTCGCGACGTGGTGCAATCGCGCCGCAAACGCTCCGCCGATTTCGACGTGTCTCTTTGGGGCTCTCCTCCCATCATCGCGTGTCCCCGCGATTATTCTCGTATTTTTCTCTCGATCGCGTGCTCGTGGCGCGTCTTCGTCGCGAAGCTGCCGGCGGATCCGGTTTCGCGCGCGATTAATTTCAAACGAGATCGACCGGCAACGCACTCTCCCCTTTTGCGTACGCAAATTATCGATCTCGCGACCTAACCTTTAACGAGAAAAGAACCAACTCGGTGGAAAAGCGCCGAGAGAGAGAGAGAGAGAGAGAGAGAGAGAGAGAGTGTTCGACGAGCAGCCAAGCGTCCGTGAACCACGCGTCGTCGCGCGAAAATTTGTTAAAACCGTTTCAAACAGTGCGTCAGCAGCAACGGCAGCAGTTCGAGGAGCGAGCTCTGCGAACGATCACGATCGAACGAAGATGAAAGAGCACGTGTGCACCTGCGTCGAATGAACGATCGGGGAAAGAGAGAGAGAAAGAGAGAAGAAGAACAGGCTGCGAAACAGTAAACGCTCAGAGTTCGACGCTCGCATCGAAAATAGCATGCCAGTGAAACGTCGTTCGGTATTCGAGCATGCCAGCAGCGAATAATCTATCGTGACACGCGTGCGTGTGCTCGACGACTGGTTGACTCGCGCGCGAGTATAGTATTCGCGGCGATGAGGTAGAAAACGACGTATACCGTGTGCCGGAAACGAAGTGTCGCGTGCGTGAAGTTCATCCGGAAGAACTCGCAATGGAGGTGGAAACGGTGCCGTGTATGGAGAAGAACAACGTGAACAACAACAGAGCCGGCGGTGGTCCAAGACACGGTAGTAGGGTACAAATAGTTCGTACAAAGACACGGTGAGGCTCGAGGACGTGGAGATAGAGGAAAATCCTGATCGACGGAGGAGATTGTTCTGCGTTTTTTTTTTTTTTTTTTTTTTTTACAACGACGTGCACGCACGAATTCTTGGTTTTGTTTTTCTTCTTGCAGGACGTCGCTGTTCATCATCATGAGTTTCATCTACGCGAAACTGCTGGTGGTGGTGTGCATCGCTTACGTGATTAGCGAGGTGGTCACGCACAAGCTGCCTCTCTACTACTACGAGGGATTCTTTACGTATCTGTACGGTGTCAGCATCCTGTTCCTGTTGTACGTGTTCTGCTTCCTGCTGCAAGAAAGCGCCTGCTGCGCGAGGGGCAGCGACACGCCGCCGCCGCCCCCGAGGCCGCCGAAACCACCCAAGGAGCCCAAGGAGAAGAACAAGAAGAAGGAGAAGAAGGACAAGGAGCAGAAAACGTCGAAGAACAAGAAAGAGTACCAGGTCGGGTACCACTTTGTCGCGGTAATTTAAGTATTTCTCAAACTTTTCAACAACGTATCGACAACGTATTCGAACAAGCTTAACCTGTTTCAAAACCTGTGCAAATCCGCGATAGCGATAGACTAGAGCAAAAGTCACACGAAACGAGTCGATCATTTTCGTCGTGACGGTGGTTTCTTGGGAAACGCGTGTATTTCGGTTCGGTATCGAGCCAATGCACGGCGCGGATTTTAAAAGAGACGCTCTCGGTGCTGACGTAAGTGGGTTATCTGCCGTCATCGACCATCTACTAGAAGGCACGTGCTACTGTTCTTCCCCCTCTTCCTCCTACCAATTCATTATCACTTCTGAACTGAAACTCGGCAGTTCCATCCTCGTTAAAGTTTGCTGCACTTTTCGTTCGGTGCCGAGGCGGCAGTTACGAAAATTAATTCGAGTCGCGACGAGATAGCTTTTAAGGGGTTAAAACTCGACGACGACCGCCCAACTTAAAAATAAGAGAGACAAAAATTGATCCAGGATGCGGCCGACGTAGAGGCTGGCGTGGCCACTCGGGCTCTACGAAAGCGCAAGACCTCGCAAAACGATCAGAGTCACGGAAGCTTCTTCCTCAGAATCGGAGCGATTGGTGAGCGAAAGTTTTTCAAATTGAAATTCGAATTCCAGTGTAAACGTAAATTTATGTACGCAACGTCCAAGTTTCATAGAGCGATTCAGCATCAAGATTCGCAAGAGAGACGAAATTTTTCTTCTTTACTTGTTCGTAGCTTTCGGCTTGGGCACGATGGTCTACAATGGTTTAGAATTTGGCACCTTCTTCGAGGTGCCGCCTACGTCACCGTGCTACCAGATCCTCCAGGGCGTGAATCCAGTTCTGCAAATGATTTTCACGTTCATGCAAATGTACTTCATCTTCATGAACTCGAGGGTAGGTAGTCGAGCCGGTTTTCGGTGCCGGGAAATAACATCGTCGTCCTTCCAAATAACTTCCGAATAGTAGACTGACTGTTCATTTCCCTAGCTCAACATCCACCGTTTCAAAGTGATCGCCCGTTTTGGTTTGATGCACGTGGTCGCTACCAACCTCTGCGTCTGGATTCGTACCCTGGTGTTGGAAAGCATCAAGGAGATCACGAAGCATCATCAGAAAATGGGTCAATTCGAAGCGGGCATTCTTGGTAAATTTCCCCGTTTATAGACTTTGCACTCCAAATTGATTTTTGCAGATCGTATTCAACCTTTTTGCACGAGAAATTAAATGCTTCTGCGAATCACGTTCGCCATTTGGCAAATCAAATTCATCTTCCGGGTGACTCACAAAAATGAAATATAACACACTTTGTTATATTGTATCTATCGCCATACTCTCCAATAATGAACTCTATTGAAAGTTTCTTGAAAAATTATATTCTGTGCAAAAGACACTTTTGCTGACGAGCCATGAACACTCTTATAGATTATCGTCATTATTACGCGGCGAATTGTTATAAATATAATATAATTATATTATATTAATAATAATATAATAATAAATATATAAATACTTTTCGTATTAAACAAGTTAATTTTATGTTAATTTTACGTTATTTTTTCAAGCATCATTAAATACGTAATAATAAAATTTTTACTTCGGAATAATAACTTTACATTTTTCGGATTTTATTTTGATTATAATGGCTTGAGAAGACAACTTTTTTGTGGAAAACAAAAAAAAAACTTGCAAAAAGCTGAATTTAATTTGTGTGAAAGGATAAATTTGACTTGGAATGGAAAACTTGTATAAAGACAGATCAATGGTATTGGGAGCAAAGCTAGACTAACTCTGGTACTATTTTCATTCGCTTAGTCCACCAGTCAAACGTTTCGAAAAATTTTGCCAACGCGATGACGCGGACTGTGTTGTTTAGAGAGTATCAAACAGCACTCGATGAGAAACGCGGGAGCCATATTGGGGACAGCGCCTCGAGACGTAGCTCTTTTGCGAGAGGCGCCATTAACCGCCACGAGGTCATCGACCGTTTCAACGTCGGTGGCAAGCACGATAGCCGCCTCGTTGGGTCGAGTGATGAGAACGACGGCAAGGGCGATCGCGAGGGCTGTCACGACCCCAACGTCGACCACCACCACCGGCTGGAACCCTCCGACCTCAACGACTACTTCCACGTCAGCTCCCCAGCCCAGTTTGACTACGACCACTGCCAACACTTTGTCCACTCTCCTGACTACGCTCACGTCGAAAGCCACCACCGAGGAAAGGACCAGTCCGACTACACCCAGTACAACCACCACCACCGCCACCACCACCACCACCACCACTACCACCACTACGACACCTTCCACCACCTTCTCATCTTTCTTCATAGAACTCTTTGACGCGCCTCAGGCCGACAACAAGGAGGAGGTAATTGCATTTACGAATCGAATAACGGGTACTTCATGTACGCTAGAACTCTATTTAATTGGCATTCGATTAAACTTTTCTTCGTTCGTCTAATCAGATCTCAAACTGTGTCACCAGCTTTCACCAGATTTCAATTTATCGATAGAACGAGACAGCAACTCTTGTCGCGAAATTGAACAAACGAAAGAGTTGTTCTTCTGCTATAGAGATCATTTGAATCGTAAAGAATTGAAATCTCGTTGCGTGAAACAGATACACCAAATCTTCGACGTGAACAACCAGACGAACAGCAGCGAATACTGGAGCCCGAACTTCGGAGCGTACGCGGAGGCGTTAACAGACGAGGAGATTGCATCCAATTCCTGCGGCCGAGTCAACATCATGGGGACTATCGTGCAGGACGCAGAACCGTATCTGTTCCCGTTCATCATCGAGTACAGCTTGATCGGCGCCGCGGTGATTTACGTCATGTGGAAACACATTGGACGACATCCACGTTGGCCGCACCAAGTAGAAGCAGACCTTGAGCGCCGCCTCGAGGCTATGCTGTCTCGAAGAGCTGTCGCTTTGGCTCATGCAGGTAATTTCATTTCTAGTTTTCTTCGTTCGATGCAATTTTCATTTCGAACGGTCAGTGTTGAATGTCTCTCTTTCTCTCCGAAAGTACGCAAGATTGCAAAATGTTCGTAATTAATAAAACAGCAGTAGCTCGTTTCGAAGGTTCGATCTGATCGAACAACGACTGCTTGAAAGCAGCGCAAGACCACTAAATAGCATCTCTGAACGCGGAAATAGGTCACACAAGGGTGGACTGTGTAGGAGCGAGCAAAGGACTGTTCTTCGGCCTGTTGCTGCTGGTTGGCTCCCTCATCTGCCTGATCCTCTTCTTCGTGCTGATCCATCATCCAGACTTCGGCCTGGTGGCCATTTACCTAGCGGACGTCTCCCATTGCGTGTTGATGGTACTGTCGATCGTCGCCATAATCGTCGGGTTCATACGGGTGCAGAGCTTGAAGTTCAAAGCCGAGGAGCAGAGCGACCTCAACGACATTCTACTTCGCGTGTCCGGCTTCGGGTTGTTCGTCTACGCGGTGTTCAGCGTGATCGCCGGCTCGTTGGCGGCGTTCACGCACGAGCCGAACCTCCTGGTGATGCTGACCGGTCTGCTGTCGGTCGCGCAGGTGATCCTTCAGATGCTGTTCATCGCGGACGTGTCCCGCAGAAGGGTTCACCTGCCGGAGCACGACCGTAGCAAGCCCGGCCGGCAGGTCGTCACCTTCCTGCTCATCTGCAACCTGACCATGTGGGTCATCTACACGTTCGAGTCGCAGAAAGTGATGGCGAACCCGGTGCAGCTTGATTTCTACGGGTTCCTCGCCTGGGCCATCGTGCAGAGGGTCACCCTGCCGCTCTGCATCTTCCACAGGTTCCACAGCGCGGTCACGTTCGCGGAGATATGGAAGACCAGCTACAAGGCGCGTCTCGACTAGACGCAGCCTGGCGCTGGCACGTTGATAACAATGGCCCGGGGTGATCTCGTCGTTCGCAGACAGAATCGGGAATGATTTGAGGAAATGATGAACGACTCGGGCGAGGCCGAGGTTGCCTATCGACGACTCGAACATTCCTGGCAATTTTCACGCGAATTCGAGTCGATCTCTCGAGCGTAAACGCTCGAGGACGAGGGGACGGATTGTGTCAACAGGTAAGAAAGAGAGACAGACAGAGAGAGAGAGAGAGAGAGAGAGAGAGAGAGAGGCTTCGCGCGGCTGATCGAAGCCGGACAAATTGGACATATCTTGATGGCGTTGGATGGATCGCCGGAGAACTCGAGGCAGCCTCCGGCCTTTTCTTTTTTTCAAATCTCGGCAGAAACAGAAAGATACGTTCCGTGAAAGTAATAGGGGAATAGGAGCGACAACGAAACACGTTGCTTTTACGATCCTCGTCGTCGAGGAAAGAACTCGAGGGAACTCGATCGACTCGATTGGAAAAGTCGGGAGGGAGGGGGGAGGGAGGTCAAAGTGAAAGGCGCAGGTGTCGATGCTGCGCCCTCGTGGCCGGTAGCTTCGCGAGGCAAACCGGGAGAAACCGCTGCGTTGGGTCGCGACGCGTCGTTTTATTTTTTTACACGCGTTACGTACGTTTATCCTCGGTTCTCTTAGCTTGAAAAAAAAAAAAAAAGAAAAAAGAAGAAGGAGGAAAGAAAGAAAAAAAAAAGACACGCAGCTTGGACGTTGCTTCCTTGATCGGTAAAGTCAGAAACGAAAGAGCACGGATCAGGGGGAAAGAGGCTGATCGATCGACGACCGCCGGAGAAAATGAAAATGAAAAACGAAAACGAAAACGTAAACGAAAATTCCGAGTAGGAACGAAGGCAAACGATTAAACCGATTGTATTCGCCATATATAAAAGCACAAGAAACTTCTAGAGAACAAAAACCGAACGAACACAGTGTACGTGCAACGCCACTCTCACGAAATAGAGCCCATTTCCTTTTCACACCGTGTTTCACACCTTTTACGATCTCTATATACTGCCGTCAAATTTTCTACTTTTATATATATTATATATGTACCCTCGCCCCATCGTGCATCGAGAGCATTTCAGAGAGTTCGCTTCGCTCTTCGACAACTCGGGATCGTTCCCAGGGAACGTCACCGCCGATCGCAAGTCTCGAGGAAATCCAGTTCAGAAACTGTTTCAATAGAGAGTTAGACATTGTTAGAATCGCTGCGACCGGAGCGAACGATCTTCTTAACGAGTCACCTCATTATCAGCGATCGAGTACATTCTTCGTTAGCGTGGCCCACGGTAGTTTTTAGCTGAATAGCCGTGCGATCTCTTCCTCGCGAGAAAAGAAGAAGAAACAGAAGGAAAAAAAAAAAAGAGGGAAAACGGGACTCGATGCAGGAACAGGGTAATTTCGTTGCGCCGCATTCAAAAGCAAAGGTTAACACGACGCTTTTTCGTCTCGCGATATCTTTTTGTTCCCGCGAGCGCAAGGTCGAAGCTCGCCCGACCGACAGAAAGAGGAAGAAGCCAAAGAAAACCGGAAGGTAGAAGAAACGCGCCAAAAATTCCGACGTTCTTTCTCGTTGCGTGCTGCAAAGTACAAAGATTGTTTCGAACTTTTAGAATCCTTTTATCGACACACACCCTTTCGACGTTTATGCTCCGGAGAATCGTTCGAGAACGATATCGATATAGATATTGTTCGAGAACGATATCGATATCGAGCCGCGGACGAATACAGAAACGTGTAGAATGTAAAAGAAGAGGGGGGAGAAGGGACGACGACAGGCGGCAAGAAGGCAGGAAGAGGACTCGTGTAAAAAGAATCAGAGCGATTTGTTTCTCATTTTCCTTCTTTCGTTCGAAAATTTTCGAACGCTCGAGAACGTTCGCGCTACGGCGAAGAGGCGACACACAATGACGAACCACGGATGTAGATTTTATCGCGAGACTACGAGATTAGGAGCAAAAGAAGGGACGGCATCGCGGACGATGTTTCAAGACGAGGAGGAGTCTAAGAGAGGATTATATGATGACGAAATTATAGCCGATACACTAGTAGTGAATCTTACACACACAGTCACACATACACACAGTCACGCGTACCATAATCACCATCGTCGATTAACTTTTAAATGAAGCTATCTCGAGGCGAGAGAGATAGATGGAGATAGGATCGACATTTCGCATTTAATTCGCTATGGATATCGTACATTGTAGATCGTTGAGCAAGCAAACCCAGAAGAAAAAACACACGTGTTTAAACATAGTCGTAAATAAAATACATTGAAAATCCCTCCACGGATCCCGTGAAACTCAAAGAGGAAACAATCCAACCCCCTCCCTAACACAGAAAGTCTCCCCAAAGTCGAAGTACGTACCTAGCTATCCGAGTCTAAATATTTTAATTCTTAGACATATGTATAGGTGAAAGAGATACAAAGAAAGATAGATAGAGAGAGAGAGAGAGAGAGAGAGAAAGAAAAAGAGAGAACGAGAAAGCGAGAGAGGGGTGTGGGATGAGGGAAACGAGAGGGACGAAGTTGTGACACTAATTATACATAAAGATTAATTATACATAATTGTAATCCGAGACGACATTATTGAAAAAGGTAATACGATATAAATATAAAAAAAAATTAAAAAATATATTATATATATATTATATATATATATATATAGATAGATAGAATTATTATTATTATATATATATATATATATATAAATACAATTATGGAGATCTTTTATTGAACTTGATGTGCGCGACTGCGAAATGGAATGCTGCGTGCGAATTATGTAAATAACGATGCACAGTAAGTTATTGTTCGGTAGTCAGTGTGTCTGTAAAACGGAGAACAATTATGTTGCGAGTTCTGTTCTCGAGGCGTTCTCGATAGAAAGGGGGTGCTGCGTCTGTTTCCCTTAAATTGTGATTCAAAAAAAACCTCATCAAACCTCTCCTTGAAAGTCCGAAGGAAAGCAAAAGTTTGGTTTCGTTAGTCGTCGACCAATCGTTTCACGACCAATCGATCGATCCTCGTCAGAGCTAAGTGTTGTGTCAATTGAGAGAAGGTGGTTCGCACCCCCTTGCCCTCGATTCCCTCGTTTCAACCGTGAATCCGTGAAGAACAAAGGCCCGCGTCCACTGATTTCGAGAATCAAAAAAAAAAACGAAAAAAAAAAAAGAAAAAGACAAACAAACAAAAAGGGAAACAAGCGTTTGGTCTTTCCTCCGCTCGAATCCCGAATCTTTTTCATCGCCGCTCTGCGCGAGGATTAGCCTGTATCGGAGATCGGAAGGAAGAAGGGGGGGATGCGAGTCCATAGGGACGACAACGCGTGGAACGAATCAAACACAAAGCGACGTTCAAACAAAAATCATAGTTAACAAGGCACTGCCACACACAGGACCAACAAAAGTCGAGAAGGAAAGCGATGATAGGGAAGGAAAAGAGGAAGGCAGAGGAGGGGAAATGGAAGTGATGGGAACGATGCACGCGCAAATACAGAGGGAATTCAAAGTAGATCCAGCGATTCATTTCGAGCGAAAGACGAAGCCAATACCTTCCCAGCGTTTATCGAGAGTGCGTGTACGAGTGCGTGTGTAGAATGCGTTTACGCGAGTGACTGAGCAACGGTGCGCGTGCAAGCAACACGTTTTTATTCGGCAAACAACGTCTTTGTATACTCTGCCCGTGTTCTAGAGAACAGGAGGAATCATGGTTCTTGTGTATGTACATCAGTATCTCGATAGTAGCCGTAAGCCTAATTAATGAGTCGCGGATTTGCTTGGAAACCGGCGAAAATCTCGTGGTGAACACGGGAATCATCCGTTCCGGGGCTACAGCGGGCTCTTGGATCGGACACGATGCGAAATTTGAGAGAGGAATAATTAGAATGACGAACGAGTTTGCGCGATCACGCAAACGCGCGCTCTTGCGTAATTGTTTCGAATAAACGATAAAAAAAAAAGAGAGAGAAAAAGCAGGAAAAGAAGATAGCGAGAGCGCAAACACCAATAGGCAAATCCGCGACACGTCGTCATTTAACATTACGTAGTGAGTTTTCGATGTCTTCGAGCATAATTACAGTTTGTACACGTACACAATACGCGCGCACAACCGACATACTCACCACTCTATCAGATAGATACGATAATACGGAGGAGGTGGCAAACCGGAGATTTTACGCAGACAGTGGGATTAGAGTAACGTTTCAATAACGCAAGACACACGGATAAAACTTCTACAAATTACATGTTGTCGTGTATGCAGTTTCTTGAAGTCGAGTAGCGACGAATACGACCGTAAACATTCGTAAAATTCGCTCATTCATCGATTCCCATTTTAATTGTATAACGTTAACACGCCGTTTCATTGTAATCCGTTGGGGCGGCCACCACATTCGGCCGCCGTCATTTGTAACAATATACGATTATATTGGTTAATAAAAGTTATCTAGATGTAACACTTTGCCTTCTGTTTTGAACTGATCCCATTCCATTACGTCTCGTAAGAAGTCTATCTACCTATCTCATCTAATGAATTTGCTCTGATTGTAAGTTATTTAATCTAGTTTAAAATCACCTACAATCGTACATTAATTACCTACTTATTTCATTGAAATATTAACCAATTTCATTATAAATTGAACTTGATTTAAAATTAAGTCATCCAAACATGACTTAACGCAGCTTATAAATATCTTGTTATCTAATTTTAATTTTAACGTCGATTTAATTTGTTTAATTCACCCTGTTAAACTTAAATACCTTATTTGTACCGCAACTTCATACAGAGAGTGTACCGTTTAACTTATATAAATATTTATATAACAATAAAACTATCAAAATGGTCAAAATGACCAACTTATAATTTTTCTATGGAAATTTTATATATTCATAACAGTATTTTTAGATACTCGAGTGATTTTTAATAAAATAAATTGATAGAAGTTTGTATTTTTGTATTATTATACAGTGTATTTTTGTATTGTGTTAACTTTCTCTTATACTTTGCACTTTAATTTCTTTGTTATAAATATTGCGCTTTTTTTGTCGGTAGTTCTACTAATAAAGATACTTTACTTTCATCTTCATTATCTGTGAATCTAATGTGAAAGCGAAAATTCAAAAAAACAATTAAAAAATAAAAGACTACTGCTTAAATTACAATCGGCGAATAAACATTGTCTCTGAATAAACAAGTTCGCGTATGAATGAAATATTGGGACTTACGCAGTAAATATTGACCACACTGTGCACGGTCACATTCATGAAAGTAAAATTATGGAAGAAAGAGAGGAATAAGAAAAAGAACAATCTTTTCCCTCTCGAGCGTGTTTACAGAAACACCGCTGTTTTTGCGACCCAACCAGAAGAAACCAAAATTCTTTAAACTAAAATATGGTTGAGGGTAGCGTGATGATGTGAAAGCTGTATCCTTGGCTCAAAATCATTTTTACAATTCGTACATAACTATATTGTTTCTTTGCTTTCATCTATACTGTAAAGTAATTTTGAAGTTTTATAGCTTTAGCAATATGGCCGCTAGAAGCGTTCAGACGAGAATTTTATCCAATTTCATTTTAACATTCTCAACAAGTTATACGTATAACAATTTGTACATATAGCAATTGTATATATTAAACATCACTCATAGTTCAATGGAAAGATAATACGAATACATCTGTATGTCATACAATAAATCGTACATTACCATACATGCACAGCAAAATCATCCAAGTAATTCGATCATTACAGCAACCACGAGCCACACTTTTCCGAAACAATTTCAGCAATCAACAACCTGAGCAAAAGAAACCAATTGTATTAAAATACAGCAATGATCAAGCTCAAATTCTGTCTCAAAAGCTGATAATAACTAACTTTTGACGCTCAAATAGACAGCCAACGGGGAAAGTTCGGAAAACTACTCAATTTTATCACGACAGTGTCTAGTAAAGCATTAAATAAGAACGTATTGATCGTACGAACCTGTTAGCAGTCGATAAACAGCAATAGAATAGCAATGGAACCACAAATTACATAGTTGAAATCACAAATGTCAAATGCACCCAACACCAATGCTTCCCGATACGCGACTGATGCCATTGCCCGCCAAAATTACACTGTGCTGCAACGCTATTGGCTGAGGCGGAACGGCGCACGCATTTCTCAATTCGGAAAAGCGGCGCGCAGATTTAAATCACTGCACAGCGTTCTGAAACATCTAACAGAAGTAAAAGGTAACGATCTTGTAGAATATTTCAAAAAACCGTTATACATCATCACGAAAGAATCGACTCTAGAATTTTAGAAGTCGATGATCTTTTTGACAACTCAATAAATCTTTTAATTACATAAACTGCGGTCGCAGCCAATTAATTCGCATTGTTTGTCATATAATTCATAATTTTATCACACAGTAATTAGCAATTATATCGCAAATAATGAAATTGTTCAAATCTCACCACGAGGTTTCTACTTTTCTGATTTTACCTCCTTTCACTAGTAGCGCTGCAGTGCAAAACCTGTTCAAATCGATATGGTAGAATGTGACACGAAAATGGTAAGAAGATAAAACACAGACGAGATATATGCATATATGTATCTCGTTTGTGAAGACACGAAAAAGCATTGGATATCTGATCTATTCTCGATAATCAATGATTCTATTTTTAATCAATAGCGCAAGAAATTTTTATTGAATTTCATTTCACGAGGGGATTCTGTCCCTCATCTGTACCTGTAGCTTAGATCGTCAGCATCTGTATCTGTACTTGTCATAATGCACATTAATGATTGACAGATATCATCTGTGTCTGTGCTAAAAGAAGGAAACTACCATACGAGTAAGTCTAATGTGTACAGGTAGATGGCGAGGCGAAATCATAACGCTGGCAAAGCAGTATTCTACATCCTGCGTTGAAATTGAAATTCAAATATCAAATTGACATCAAACAACGAAACCGACAGCAAATATTAATATACACAGATATTTGAAACACAATACTAAACAAATGGCAAACAAATATATGTAAAATAACGGTAGAACGACAACGACTAGAATTTGGTTTAGATCGCGAGCATCAGAATCCACGGCGTGAAGAAGAATCGGCGACATCGGTGAATATAATTGGGGAAACAAACGCGAGAAACAGGAAAGGTGGGATTCGAATCGAAGAAGAAAACGAGCCGTGAAATAGCAGCCGAATAGAAAGAAAACAAAAGAGAAAGCCACGGGGATACATATGTATGCATGCGTGGCCGCATCGACGACAGAAGAAACGTTCACGGTGAGAAAAGGCTGCTTGTGAACGACCGGTAAACAATTAGTCGCGCCGTATGGCGATGAATCATTATTAAAGACGATGACGAGCCAACTGTCCTTAGGCGCTTCGTTGTCCCGGTCATTCGAACCGGTGCCCTGTTAGCATGCGACATTAATTTGCGTAAGGTGTGTTTTGGGGTGCTACTTGAAAGGCAGCGGATGTGGGTGCGCGACAGAAAGGAGATGAACTAAAAGGCGAGGAAGAGCAGCGCTGCCTCTCATTTGCCTTTCAATACCGGTTCCCTTCTTGTCATTGTGACAACGACGCGACCATTGTCGTGCCACCGTACACCATGTATTACCTACCTGTTCGTTCGTGTTCCTGCCAGCGTGGGTGGCGGCCGTGCACACCAGTCGCCGCTTCAACTCATCCTCTCCAGAAACCGTATTTTCGGATGGCATGCACAATTTCCGTCAATTTTTTCTTTTTCTTTTTTTCTTTTTTTTTTCTTTTTTTTAAGAAAAACAGTTCGACGAACTCTTCTTGGCGTAGAATGCAACATTTATGCCTTTCGCATTCTTCCAATTATTAATATCATTCGTATTGTTTTCTCCCCACCTCTCTCGAAGACACACGTACGTACCAGTTAAAAAGAATTACGAGTACTTTTAAAAAAATGCTTTAAGCCGATTCTCAAACAATCGTAGTCACAAGTAATTTGAACGCTTGTCACCACGCACCAGCTTGGTCGTAAGCAACCTCGGTAACGAAACGTTTCCGTGTAAACTGTCGCCCTGTGTGTGTATGTGTGTGCGCGTAACCTTCGAATATTTCCTTTCGCGTTCCATCATTGACCAAAGTCTCCACTGAGCAGAGCAAGTGGGAAATCCCACGCGAAATGCAAAAGGTTCACGGAATTCTCGAGGGATCGTTCGAATATTAATCCGATTCAAATGGACAAGTTCGGGAAACCGGATGCTCTCTCTCTCGCGCGTCGCAGCATTCCGAGTCTAGTTAAGACGCGCGCGTATATCGGTAATAAGATTCGCGGAATGGCGCATCTCGCACACGCACAGGCGTTTAACACGGCCTGTCAAGCCACGTCGGACGTCAGAATTTTTGTCATACCGCGTGCGTGCAGCTCGTGGTTCGTCATTTGCGTCGGAGCCTAGTTATCCACTTTTAATCCGCCTTGGCAAATACCAACGAGACTTAAAAATTGCTCGTACGATTGTTCGAAAACATCGTAAATACATCTATTCGTTCGTTCGGCGAACGACACTTGTAAAGTCAGATACGTTTCTTCACAATTAAATATAAATCATTCTCGCGAGAGTATTTAATTATCTACCATTCTCTGACAGTTTATCGGAACTAGAAATTCACTTTAAAAAAAAAAAAAAAAAAAAACGTACGGAGAGGCGGAAACGCCTGGTTCGTCAAGGATAGTTTGATAGTTACCTCAACCGCGTTGGTAGCGACCGGTTGAAGACGATCGGACGCAGAAAACAGTGGAAAAAAGAAAAAAAGAAGGAGGGGTTCGTTTCGGGAGTGGAGACGGCGTCAGTTGGCAGTTTTTCCACTCGAGGAGTAAGGTAATAATCCGTATAATAGCCGTTAAGCGGTCACGAAGCGAGCGGTGGAGTCGAGCAGAAGAGTCCGGAGCGGGCTCGGGAGATCCCGCGTGGTAAAACGCAACGGAGCGAGGCCAGGGACCACGCTACTCGGTTTGTACCGCTTAAGCTAATGAGCCACAGATGGCGATATATCGTCGAGGCCTCGCGTTCGCGTTTTCAAGCCGCGTGTACACGAGATATAAAGTGGGCCGAAATGCGAGGGAGAGATAGATAGATCAGCCGCGATATCCGAATCGTTGCAAGGTGGCTGAAAAGTTAAGGTAAAAGGGGTTGGCCAGGTTCGTTTGGCTCGATGGTTATCTCGGCCAGCCGGTCGTACGCGGCTACCGCTCGTCCGATCCTATCTCGCGATATCCTCCCTCCTTTTAACCCGGTGCACGACCAACCTGCACCACAGCTAAATACACGCGCCCGTCTTTTCGCTGTCCGGCGCAGATGTACCGCCCTTTTGCACTGGTTGCAAAACTCGTGCATTCCTCCGCGTACGGCGGCTTCTCGAGATCGGCCGCGATCGTACGCAAAAAACCAGCCGATTCTCCGCCACGATATCTCGACGTC